CAGGATGGACGGTCCTTTTACCTAAAGATAGGGTAACCAGAAGGGAATTCGTTATCAAGTATGACAAGTAGGACCAGCGGGCAGGTGGAAGGACTCTGGAGAATACTTACCATTTGGGGGAATTCATTTTCTTTTTATTAATACTTCATTGTCCACCACATTTTTGACCTATTATTATTATTATTAAAGTAAAACTGTATACTATGCATATCCACTAAACTTTTATCACAAATTCACCAGATATTCTTTAACATTCAATGTATGGCATAATGAAAATCATAAGGAACAACGGGAAAGAGGGAGGGGGAAAACTAGGTCAGTACATTTCATACCTTCGAAGAATAACCTATGACCATCAGTTTTCTGCAAATGGTGTAAATATAAACGGTACCTGGGTAAGAAAAAGATTGTTAACGTGTATCACACTGAAGTGATGAAAGCTATACTCCCCAACCTCTGCAGTTGAAGTCTGTAGTTCCCAAATCAAGTGTACTCATGAGAAAGTCTCAGGAGACTAGAGAGTCACCATTATAATTTTTCTTATCACTTATAGAGAAAACTCATTAAAATAACGAATACAACCGTATTTCAAATACGTTGACAAGAGAATCATTTAGTATCATTTTAAAGGCAATTCAAGTTCTGAAATATTCTGAACCAAAGAATCTTTAGTGGCATAATTTATGTACTCCAGTTTTATTAATTCACATAAAATCTCATTATTTCCCATGGCTTCTTTAGGGTTGAGAAACTAAAGATTTATCTCCAAATAAGATTAGAATACATATTTAATCAGCACACTACAATGCTGAAACTCATAATAATTTTAAAATCATAATGCATGACAGCTTATATTATATTTATTTGTAGTCTTATGTAACATTTATGCCCTTATTTATATGTCCTCTGAAAAATAGCATTTTATTATAATATGTCTTGGCATCTATCAGGCCACGAATGGAAGGGGCTGAGAAGGCTGTGGCAGATTTGGAGTGGAGACATCACCATACCCCGGCATGCACAGGGCGCTATCATGCTGGAAATGTGCCCAGAGGACGATGACACGCGTTAGAAAGGCATGCGGTGGTGTTGACAAGTGGTCTAAATATTGTCTGCAAAATATCTGATCTAAAATTCGTAACCGTCAAAATTCAACAGCCAGGAAGCCTATGCTCATGTTTAAACTTTAAAAGCTTCGGAGCAAACAGCATCTGCTCCCAAACATCTCCCTGATTAAAACACACCTGTAAGCGTAATAAACACGAGTTACACAAATCAGTGACAAAAACACTGGTTAACTCTGAAATCCTCACGGCCCCTTGAGCGTTACGGAAAAGTTGGTCGGTCTTCAACGCTCAGGGACTCAGCTCTCCGGTGTGACCGTGCTCGGGCTATGGAGTTACTCATCTTATTTAAGACCTACTGAGAAGAAACCACTCCAACCACTCGGCTCTTAGCAGCTCGAGCCCAGAATACATATTATCTCAACTTGGCTTTGTCAGCCTCTACTTTCAGTGTTTAAAAATAAAGCTCTGTAACTGTGTTACTTTGTAGGGGGGAAAAGAGAGTCAGCAAGTAAGGGTATGCACAGGAAACACGCGTTCCCCGCAGAACATGTGGCTCAGGTGTAAACCAGGAGCCTGAATAAACACTAGGGAAGTCAGCAAGGCCTCAGGAGACGGCCCTCAAGAACGACAAGGGCCCTCTGTGTTGCAAAAATGTGCCTCTAACCTTTCCAGCCCAAATATGTCCTGGCTAAAACTGAATAGTTCTTTGACAGTTCAGGATCTTGGCCTGGCTCACAAACTCCCACTGCAGAATCCAGGGGAGGCAGTAAATCGCAGGGCCAGAACGTGGACTGAACTTTACAGTCTCAGGGTATCTCCGGAAGTTTGTTTTGTTTTGCTTTGGTCCAAATCCCAAACATGAGTTCATTGCCCAATCATGCGACTGCTCTTCACCAAAGATGGTCACCATCAAAAAAATGGTCTTAAATAAGATGAGTCTTAAATAAGATCTTAAATAAGGTCTTAAATAAGGTCTTAAATGAGTCTTAAATAAGGTCTTAAATAAGATGAGTAACTCCATAGCCCGACAGTCTAAGTGAGCTGGTTCTGGTTAGTTCAGAAGGATGATATTATCCAGTATTAACACACCTACTTAGGTTTCATAAAGAATCAGGATTGGCCAAATATCTCAGGAGACCAAGAAGAGGTATGTGAAATAGTTCATTAAAAGAAAATAGAAAGCTGGGCATGGTGGTTCACACCTGTCATCCCGGCACTCTGGAAGGCTGAGGCAGAAGAATCACAGGTTCGAAGCTAGCCTGGCCAGGTGTGGCAGCGCAGGCCTGTAATTCCAGCACTCGGGAGGCTGAGGCAGGAGGATCGTTGCAAGTTCGAGACCAGCCTGGGCTACAAAGTGAGCCCAAGGCTACCCTGAACTGTATAGTGAGACCCTGTCTCAAAAAGACCAAAAAAAAAAAAAAGAATCTAGCCTGGACAACTTAGTCACTTAACAAGACTCTGTCTTAAAATTAAAATTAAATTGTAAAAGGGGCTGTGAGCAAAACTCACTGTGAAGGCCCTGGGTTCAATCCCCAGTACTACAGGAAAAAAAAAAAAAAAAAAAAGAAGTTGGCTGAATGAAAAGGTCAAACGTACTTATCAAAATACATCTGACCTTTCACTCAAATGCGTTTTTGACTACTAAAATCTAACTTGTCAGGGGCTGGGGATTTAGCTCAGCGGCAAAAGCGCCTGCCTGGCAAGTGCAAGGTCGTGAGTTCGGTTCCCGGTACCGGAAAAAAACCAAAAAAAAAAAAATAAAATAAAATAAAATAAAATAAAATCTAACTTGTCATAATGTCAGGGTCTGTGCACTTGCTAATCCCCTTGCTGGAACAGCCTCCCCCAAATATCCAGGTGGTTTGCTCCCCAGGTTCCTCCAGGTCTTTGCTCAACTGTCACTTCAGTAAGGCTCCCTGACCATGCTAGTTAAAGTCGCACTGAGGCTCCCTGCCTACTCCAGCCGAGTCCCTGCTCTACCCTCTCCTCACACTTATTCTTCTCCCTAGCCTTCATCATGTCGCACACTGAAATACAATCTCCCTGCAGTGGAAGTAAGCATGAAAACTGTTCTCGTTTATTGTCCGTTCCTGTGTCCCCAGAACCCAGGACAGTGCCTAGCTCGTGGGGTCACTTAGTAAGTGGTAGATGAATACACTCAAACAGGGGCAGCAGTTGGTGAAACAAAGTACAGTGTGTGTATCTCCCACAACCCAGCAACCCCACTCCTGGGCATGGATCCCAGAAAAGTCTCGCACCAGCCTATAAAAGGACGTGTGCAAAGACATTCATCGCAGGATTATTAGAGGTAGGGTGAACCCAGTGCCCGTTTCTATGGTGCATGGAAATCTGGAAAGCATCAGCAGGCAGAGTTAACAAACTGGGCTTCCATACAGGAACCCTGCTACAGTCTAAAACCACTTTGTTGAATAGAAAAAAAAGCGTAGGAAACAGAAAAAGTCTAGAGCATAATACCATGTGTATAAATAAAAAGTTCACACCGAGAAAAGGATAGACAAGATACAAAATTCATTTAATCTTTTCTTCTTTATAAAGAACATTACAGGTTTGTCTGTTGCGTGTCTGTCTGATCTTAAAAAGACTGAAGGTGGAATCCTGCACCCTTTCCACCCACTAAGTAAGGCCCAGCTGCACACCCAGCCCTGTGCCTGTCTGCTGCCCCCGCCAAGAGGTGTGGGAGACCCAGTGGGGAATCAAGGTCATCTGAGACAACTGGGCACAAAAGCTTTACACTCACTGAGCTGAAATCCAAGTCTGCTTCACTTCCAGGCAGCAAATGTGGAGCAGTTCCTTCAGCAAATGTGAAGTCCAATTTCAGCCAAAATATAATTTGGAATGGATGGAGTAAGAAAAGGGTCAGGGGGCTGGGGATAAAGCTCAGTGGCATAAGCGCCTGCCCGCAAGCGCAAGGTCGTGAGTTCAATCCCCGTTACCAGAAAAAAAAAGCAAAAAAAAAAGGGAGGTCAGAAATATACTTTTTTTTTTTTTTTTTCAAACAAAGGATGAAGGAAAATCCAATACATTTTCCTTGGAGTTATTTTGCCCTGATCTTAACACATGGCAAAATACTGTCACTTTTATCTTTTTGCTTAAAACTGTACTATCCATGGGCTAAGGGTGGAGGGTGTAGCTCATTGGTAGAGCACTTGCTTTGCATATGCAAGGCCCTGGGTTCAATTTCCAGCACTAGCATCACAGCAAGAAGAATGGGAGAGGGGACTGCGGATGTAGCTCAGCGGCACAAGCGTCTGCCTGGCAAGCGCAAGGTCCTGAGTTCGATTCCCAGTACCAAAAAAATTTTTTTAATTTTTAAAAAAAGAAGAGAGGGAGGAAAGAAGAGAATATATTATCCATTCCCAGCACCATCAAATATATATGTATACACATAAAATACATTTTAAAATATTTTTTAAAATATATGTATGTGTGTATTTTCCAGAGAACAATATAGTGACTCAGTGTAACCTCAGAAGAGAGAAAAACAAATGTTACATTTTTCTAGCTAAGAGTCACCTCTTTACAGATATATTTAATGTACATATACGTGTATGAATACATGTATGTGTATGGGTGTTCTCAGAACTCCTCACTCAATATCAAGTACAGCAAAAACGTTGCTGTGTGCAGGGTAAAAAGTTCGTGCCAGGGTCTTTGAGGAAAAGACCAGCACACGGGTGATGCTTGGAACCGGTCTAACCTGCAGTGGTTAGACTTGATCCTTACTTATATCTTAAACTTCCCCACTTATTAACTATGGCCCTGCTTTTATAGACCCCAAACTGATTATCCCCACAGCCTCTGACCCTTCCTTCAGTGGAAACCAAAAGACATGTCCTATAAGACCCTACCTGTAAAGATAAACTAAAATGTAAAACAAGTGTTAAAAAAAGACGTTTGATCATGAACCGCACACATTTGAAACTACAAGGTAACTGAGCTGCCATCCAAGGCGGCATCTGCGTAACTCTCTAAAAGATGCCATGGGAAATACGGCTTTTGGGCGCGTACCGTTGAAGACAATCCAGCAAAGATGCTCCTGCGGCAGAGCCGCCTGCATGATGAGCCTTAAGGAGGACAAGACTTGCAGACACTGGCTCACAGAGTCTGTATTCTGCAGGTTTACGTCACTGTCGCACACCAGCTGGTAGGTGCAAATATTTTTGCCATACAAAGCATGAAACTGAAACACATGGGAAAACATAAACAAGAATATAAGTAAGGCTTATGCAACTCAGAAAAGCAGTCCCCAAAATGCAGAAAGCTAAAACAGAAACCATGGTGCTTAATTCGTATAATAGACTGATGTAGAAAGAAACAAGCTAGGTTTCCTTAAAACATCCATTTAGTTAGGATTAACTTTTCTTAGTCAAAAGAAATTCAAAAGCAAAACAAAAAAAGAAAAAGAATCCTATTAGCAAAAACATAAAATTGTGCACACTTGTAATCCCAGCACTCGGGAGGCTGAGGCAGGAGGATCGTTGCCAGTTTGAGACCAGCCTGGGCTACAAAGTGAGCTCAAGGCCAGCCTGAAGTGCATAGCGAGACCCTGTCTCAAAAAGACAAAACAAAACAAAAAACAAAAAATTGACTCAACTTTTGCAAACCCACCCAGTAGACTTTTAACCTGTTTATTGATTCCAATGTGATTATTACCATTTACCCAATTCATCCAACAAATGTTGACTGGGCATCTCTGTCACACTCTTCTAGGCGACGAGCATTCTAAGACAAGGAAGAAATGACCCCTGCTTGTGGCAGAAGAAACAGTTCCCGGCACTCACAGCACTAGGGATGCCTAAGAGGACTGAAGTGGTCACTGAGCTAAATGTCTTTTGTGAGTCTGGATAAAAAGCTGTTAAGTCAAGAGATAAGACTGTAGAGATGCCCGGCCCAGTGTCAGGCCATGGAGAGGGTGTCTGTCATTCCAAGGAATCTGATCTTTAGCCAAAGAGCAAAGTCCAAGTCAGTGGTGATTTCTCCTTTAGAAATAGAATCTGTCAAAGCATGGCTGATGAATTTCAGACCGTGGGGTGGGAGGCCGGGCTTCAGGGAGGCTAGGAGAGACCTCTCCAGTCCAACCAAACAACTATTCAGTGGTCCCCACCACGCCTTGAGATCTGCTTATTAGCCAACTGCTACTGTTCCCAAAGCTTCAAACAGACCTCATTGGGGAAAACGCAATTTTGGAATCAAGCAGCTCAGAGTTCAAATACCAGCCTTGCCCATTGTTTTGCATAGGCTGGGTTGTTTTCTTAATCTCTAATAAACTTCATTTTCCTCATCTGTAAAAAAAATTTAACAGTTCCACCTCTTAGGACCATAGTGAGGCTATAAGATGATAATCCTTATAATACAGTTCTACAGTTCTTTGGGGTTGCTGGGAATCAAACCTATGGCCTCTTTCATTCTAGGCAACTACTTTACCACTGAGCTACGTCCTCAGATTTACATAAGCATTTAGAAGAGCACCTAGCACACAATAACCACTCCGCTAGTGAATTAACGATAGCAATTAACAATAATACTCGCTAACAGAAATAAAACATAATTTTTCTATCAAAAGATCCTCCTGGTACCAGGGATTGAACCTCAGCCTTCGCACACAGCAATATTTCTACACTACCCCCTTTTTTTGATAGTCTCTCTGTATCTTTTTTTTTTTTTTTCCCAGTACTGGGAATTGAACTCACGACCTCGCGCTTGCCAGGCAGGCACTGTGCCGCTAAGCTAAATTCCCGGCCCTTCTCTCTATATCTTAAGTTGTTCAGGCTGGAACTTGTGGTCCTCCTGCCTCAGCTTCCACAGTGGCAGGATTACAGGCATGTACCATCACACCCAGCCAAGACCTACTTTTTTGCACTGTGGGTAAGTTTTGTTTGTGTTTAAAACAGGGCAATAAGCCAGGCATGATGGCGTATGCCTGTAATCCCTGCACTCAGGAGGCTGAGCCAGGAGGATTGCCACAAATTCAGGGTCAGCCTGGGCTACATAGTGAGTTCAAGGCCAGTCTGTTCTATGGAATGAGACCCTGTCTTTAAAAGAAAAAGAAAAAACTAAAATAGGGCAATAATAGTATCTAATTTATAAAGTTATTGTAAGAATCAATTATATTAGCCAGGCATGGTGGTGCACGCCTGTAATCCCAGCACTTGGGAGGCTGAGGCAGGAGGATTGTTGAGAGTTTAAGACCAGCCTCCACTACAAAGTGAATTCAAGGCCAGCCTGAACTGCATAAGGAGCACCTGTCTCAAAAAGACACACACACACACAAAAAATCAACTATATTTACCAAAACACTTTGTAAACTCAAAGCACTCTATAAATATTAGTTATTATAATAACGATAACTTCTGCCAAATGAATTGAGATTGATACAATCCTCAAAGCATTGTTACAAAGTTTAATGAGCTCACTTTCTTATCCTGCCCTGAAAGCAGGATAAGGAAGCATTTATTAAGCAACTTACAACACACGGCCAGATGCTATGATAAACCCATAGAAGGTACTTAGAGGCTGTCCACTAAATGACATGTTGCATCACTAATCATGAAGTGTAGCTATTGCAGCTCCTTTTCCCATCTTACTGTAAGTCTAGCAGTTTTATCTCCACAGCCTTTTGGGAAAAAGATGCTTTTGAATTGATTCACATCTGCTTTATTCTCATCAAAATGGGTACCAAACTGCTGCAGGTATCTTCCATAGCACTGCAAAAGGGCCAGTTTGTATTCCTAAAATAAAAAGAGATCTCAGTTTAAGTTTCAAAATAGCATCATAAGATTAAGTAATATTTTATTACTCTTAATAGTACCAATATTGGTCATTAATATTTCTGCTATTGCTGCCACCACCCTTCTCCAAGCACATAGCATGTGACAGAATCCACACTGTCCACTATATGCATTGTTTTATACAACTCTGCACTCCATGAGACTGCTGTGATAAAGGACCATCGTGATCACGAAGAACATTCACGTAGATACTCTATGTGGAAAAACCTTCAGATACTCAGTAATCCCACATCACTCGATAGTAGTAACCCACACTCAGTACACGGGCAGATGACAGCCTTGCTTCTCTGATGCTCCCGGGGTCAAAATGATGGGAGGAAGGTGAGAAGGCGACAAGGAGAGGAACTGAAGGCGGGGAGTGAGCTGGCTCTCTCATCTTTGAAAGCTACACTACTAGGCCAAGACGCTACGTTCCTGCCAGCATGAGATGCCTCATTTCTGTCACCCAGGTCTTTACTTCTGGGGAGGAGGAGTGGGCTTGACCTTGAGAGTCTGGGGCAGGGGATGTGCACAGTGCTCCAAAACTGATTTTCCTTTTGCTTTTGTTTTTGTTTCTTTCTGGTATCAGGGATCGAACTCACGACCTTGTGCTTGCCTGGCAGGAAGTGTGCCACTGAGCTAAACCCCCAGCCCCCACAAAACTGATTTTGATGCAACCCTCCCTCAGGTCCCTCCACGACAACTGTGTCTCCAGGAAAAGCGGGAGCCGGCTACCTGACCCCGTGGGAGGCTCCCACTTTTGTTTATATTCCTGACGACCTGTTTGTTATGTGCTCGCTAATTAATTCTGAATCTTTCCCATTTTAATTGATTCATATAATAAGTTCAAATAGGTTCAAAACAAGAGTATTCCACACGATGATCTTTACTATAATTAAAATAAGAGTCTATAAATCAAAGTAACAGTCAAGTTCATTTTCAGGATTATGAATGCCTGTTTTCCCATCAGGGAAAAGTAGATAGGACTTTTTTGGTGTTGTTTCTTTAATTGATTTTTTTTTTTTTTTCTTTTTGAGACAGGGTCTTGCTATGCCATTCAGGTCGGCCTTGAGCTCACTTTGTAGCCTGGGCTAGTCTCAAACTCTCAAGGATCCTCCTGCCTCAGCCTCCCAAGTGCTGGGATTACAGGCATGTGCCACCACGCCCGGCGAAAATATGAATTATCAACAAACACATTCCCCTAGGAAAACTATCCCACAGGAGCACAAGAAGAGTATTAGTGTCATTGTTTGTCACAGCAGTATTTGTAATACTTGGAAATTACCTACATGTCCAGTGTGGTAGAGACTTGCTCTTTCACTTAAAATCTCACCCTGCTCTTCTTAACCTTTTTTTTTGTTTGTTTGTTTTTGTCTTTTTGAGACAGGGTCTCATTATGCAGTTCAGGCCGGCCTTGAGCTCACTTTGTAGCCCAGGCTGGTCTTGAACTCTCAACAATCCTCCTGCCTCAGCCTCCCCAGTGCTGGGATTACACATGTGAGCCACCACGCCAGCTTTAATTAAATTTTAAAATACCCTCTAGACCTTTCTATCAGAAACATTCTGAATCCTTAGCTCCAATCCATCATCAACTTGCTTTTTTCACGTCCTCCTCTCTCCACCAATATCCTCCCCACCCACCTGGTTACCCCTCCAACAACACCCACCCCCTCCCCCTCCAGCAACACCCCTCCCCCCATCCCTACCCCCGTTGTGCTGTGCCCTGCCAGCTTCTCAGATGTAAGTAACTTACAGTTCCCTTTACTGTGTTAGCATAGTCAAAATCACACTCCAGTGGAAATCTAAGACAGTACTGAGACATGGGTCCCATGAAGAGGCATGCTAGCCAGGCGTGATGATACACGCCTGTAATCCCAGCACTTAGGAGGCTGAGGCAGGAGGATCGTTGCCAGTTCAAGACCAAAGTGGGCTATAAAGTGAGCTCAAGGCCAGCCTGCACTGCATAGCGAGACCCTGTCTCAACTCAACAAGACAAAACAAACCAAAAAAAAAAAAAAAAGAAGAAGAGGCGTACTGCCTGAGGCCCAGGCACAACTAAAACACCACTTCTACATGCATGATTAGGAGACCAGGTCCCTCCTACCCCGTAGAGACCCTGTGGACCGTCATCCTGTTTGGCGCAGCCTGAGCTTCCTGTCTCCCAGAGCTCTTTCTCCCTTGGACTACAGTGCAAGAATAAAAGCCTTGTTCATGTGCCAAGGTGCTGCTGTAGATTCTTCTGATAGAGCACAAGAAGCCACAAGTCAGTAAGAACATAAATAGAGCTTACAAGGTGGATTTCACCTAGTTTCTCTTTTTCCTATGGTTTTTCAAACTCTATTTTCTCAAATTTCTCAGAACCATGGCCCAAATATATGGGGTTGAGGTTATCTCTTATTTTGGCAGAGGAAAAGAGACCTTAGTTCTTTATTATGAAAGCTCTATGTCTTCTCTTCGGTAAACTCACCTCCCAGATCAAAAGCATTTAAGTCCCTAAAATAGAAGTGGGGGAGAAGCTAAGAAATAGAAGCCTGAGAAACTACTGAACAACCGCCATGTGTGGAATAAATCTCTCAGATAAAGTAACTCTTTGTCCAAGATTTCATACTGTAACAAGGACTTCATGGCTGGGCCTGCAGATGCCTGGCGCGTGACAAAAACAGGATGAATGCCGGCATTTCTACCTTCGCTCCATGTCTCCTTTAGTACCTTCAAACTTTGGGGCAGTTCCTTGCTTGTTAATCACTCAAGGAGTGTCTGTTTTATAAGGTTTTACTAGCCCTAAATTTACCTAGCCTACATCATCTCCCCTCGAAACTGAGGGCACCAAAATAAAAGTAAAGCAAATTTCAGGATTTTAAGGGACATCCCGTTGTCAGCTTTTACAACCTCCATTTCCAGATCCCCTGGAGCCACACCTAGAGGTGTCAAGTCACTGCCCTAAAACTGCAGTCCCCATGCACTCCTGGCTAAAGCAGAGCTTTGCAGACCAATCCACGGCAAAATCACCCCCAACCAGGCGCAGTGACCCCATGACTGGAACCAGGACAACCCCGTAACCAAGACCCGGCATCCCATAATCAGAACAGAATTGTCGGTGGGTATGGTGGCACACGCCTGTAATTTCAGCACTCGGGAGGCTGAGGCAGGAGGATCTTTGCAAGAGTTTGAGACCAGCCTGGACTACAAAGTGAGCTCAAGGCCAGTCTGAACTGTATAGTGAGACCCTGTCTCAAAAAGACAAAAAAAAAAAAAACCCAGAACTTTCCCCTCAAGGGATTATGGCTCTCTCAGAAACAGTTCTGAGATAACAGCCAATCAGTCCAGGACTTAACCAGGAAGACACTATCCAGTTATACAGACACCTTACTATGCAAATCCCAACTCTGGTCATTGTTCCCCATTTCTTTTTTTTTCTTTTTGTCTTTTTTGAGAAAGGGTCTTGCTATGCAGTTCAGACTGGACTTGGACTCACTTTGTAGCCTAGTCTGGTCTTGAACTCACAGTGATCCTCCTGCCTCAGCCTCCCAAGTGCTGGGATTACAGGCGTGCGCCACCACACCTGGCCACCCCATTTCTATAAAAGCCCAAAGCTTCTTTTAGGCCCTTGAAGACAGATCTTACACCTCTTTATCTGTCCAGCACAGTGATGCTGATGAGATCTTCCCTGCCCTCCACCACTGCTTGTCCCCTTGATTGGTGTCACGGGACACAGGACAGAGCTTCCTCTGTTGGAGCCCTCAAGACCAGGGATTTCACCCTAAAACTCCAGTAACATGTAATAATTTGGATCTCTGCCAAATAAATTACTATTATTATCATTAACTGAAAACCCAGCCATGCCACAGTCTTATCAAACCCAGCCCATTGCTGCAGAATTCCAAGACACGGCACTTGTCTGGAACTCAGGAGGATGAGGATGCAAGCTCAGCTGGGAATCTCATACTGGGTCAGAAACAGGGCAGTATGGAATGACTGCGAGAAGCACATCCAGAAGGAGGCGAGAGTCATTAAAACAGGACAGAGGGCTGGGCAACTTTACAGCAAGGCCAGAGACACGAGAGCGGTCCACTGGGCACGGCCAGCCATGTGAAAAACAACAGGAAGCTGTGCCTGGGCGCCTTTGTGCAAGGCGGGAACATGATGACTCAGCACTTCCTGTTGTGCGCCGACCACGCCCTCGCTGACCCCACCCCACCCCCAGCCTCCTGTCCGTTCCCGCCCTCTCCCCTGGGGAATTTGAAATCCAAAAATAAAAAGCAAACACTTTGGTTGTTCTTGTTGTTACTGTGCCTCATTAAAACGTTTCTGTGTTGGTGATTTTTTTTTTCCTAAGGAAAAAAATTAAAATATAAAATGGGAACGGTACAGAGCCAAATAATACTCGTCAGATGAGCTTTATTTTGGCCCTCTGTACCTCACAGGCACTTACTTTCATGTGACAAAGGCTATCTCCAACCTGCAGGAGCTTTTCATTGTAATAGTCCGCTGGCAGCCGGGGGGCGTATTTGGTCCAGATATTGAACAAAGTGGTGGCGCTGTAAAAATTACAAAATGACGTCTTTAAAGTCAGCAGGAACCCTCAATGAATTAGCGAACAATCCTTAAAAACTCACCTTGTGATACGTTTCTCCCATATGCTTTATTGTGAATGTCTAATTATTAATAATAAATGTAATTATAGATAAAATTATGGCTTCCTGTATGCCCAACACTGACTGAGGCCCTTTATATGACATTTTTAAAACCTTCTTCAAAACCTTTTTTAAAACCATTTTTAAAGCGATTTTTTAAGCCATTTTTAAACCCATTTTGTACAGCAGTTTTAGGTTCATAGCAAAATTGAGAGGAAAGTACAGAGATTTCCCATACACCTACACGTGTACAGTCTCCCCCATTCTGAACATCTACCCCCATCTGTGGTACAGTTGTTACAACTGGTAAACCAGCAGTGACGCATACCACCCCAAATCCATACTTTACACCCAGTTCACTTAGTGTTAGGTGTTCAGTGGGTTTGGACAAATGTACAATGACATGTATCTACCGTTAGTATACCACAGAGAGTAAGTTCACTGCCCTAAGACTCCTCTGTGTGCCAGCTATTCGTCTCTTCCTCATCAATGTCTTTGAACCACTGACTTTTTTTTTTTTTTTTACTGCCTCCATAGTTGTTTTTTCCAGAACATCATACAATGGGCAGTCTTTTCAGATTGGCCTTTTTCACTTAGGAATAACCATCGCAGTTTCCTGTCTTTTCATGGTTTCATGGCTCATTTCTTTTTAGCACTGACTAGTGCTACATTGACTGGAAGTACCACGGTTTATCTTTTGCCTCACTTTCTCCAGGACATCTTGGTTCTTCGAAAGTTTTGGCAATTACAAATAAAGCAGCTATAAGTATCGGTGTGCAGGTATTTTATAAGGACACAAGTTTTCAAATCCTTTGGGTGAATACCAAAGGGCAGAATTACTGGATCATATGGTAAGAGTTTATTTACAAGTGTAAGAAACCACCAAACTTGCTTCCACAGTGCTGTGCCATTTTAATTCCCACCAGCAAAAAAATGAGCATTCCTGTTACTCCACATCTTTGCCAGCATTTGATGTTGTCACTGTTCCGGATTTTAGCCTTCCTCGTAGGTGCATGGAGTGTTTTATCGTTGCTTTAATTTGCTTGCCCCGATGACACAGGCTGTGGAGCATCTTTTCATATGTTTATTTGCCATCTTCTGTTTGTCTACTCTGATCCTCCTGCTGAGGTATCTGATAGGGTCTCTGGCACATTTTTTTTTCCAAACGGGTTGGTTTTACTTTTCTTAATGTTGAGGGGTTTTTTTTGTATATTGTAACAGCCCTTTATCAGATATGTCTTTTGCAAACATTTTCTCCCAGTTCATAGCATTTTTCATTCTCTTTATAGTCTTTCATAGATCGTTTCATGGCCTTTTGGCTAAGATCAAGTGCAGGATAGTCTTTCATAGAGCAGAAATTTTTATTTTTAATGAAATCTAGTTAATCAGTTCTTTCACAGATTAGTTTTGGTGTTATATGCAAAAAATCATCCTGAAACTCAAGGTCATCTACATTTTCTCCTATGTTTTTCAAGGAATTTTATAGTTTTGACTTTACATTTAAATATGTGATCCATTTTGAGTTCACTGTGATGGGTATGAGATCTGTGTCTAGATTGCGTGTGTGTGTGTGTGTGTGTGTGTGTGTGTGTGTGTGTGGCTGCCCAGTTTTTTCAGGACCATATACTGTGAAGACCATCTTTTCTCTAATGTGTTGTTCTTGCTCTTTTGCAAGGATTTATTTCTAGGCTATGTACCCTGTTTCATTGACTCGTTTGTCTGCTCTGTCACCAGTATCATATCGTCTTCGTTACTGTAGCTTCATATAAATCCTGAGATTGCGTAGTATCAATCCTCCAATTTCTTCAATGTTGTGTTGGCTACTTTGGACCTTTTTTTTTTTTTTTAAATACTTTGGACCTTTTGCCTACGTGCATTTTCTTTTTGTTTCATTTGTGCAACCACCCCTAGATGAGAAATTGCCCCAAGATGGGAAATAACAATATCCCCGAGGACAGGGACCTTGACATTTTATTCATTGCCTAACCACAAGAACAATCAATACCTAGTACATACAGGCAGTCAATAAATATTTGTTGAAAGGGTGAATGAGTGATAAGGGAAAAATTCCTGTTCTTATTTTATTCTTTCCTCTGAAGAGCTCAAGGGCTCCATATCTAATCTATTCACTTAGCACTATACTTCCTTCCAATAAGTCAAGCATAAAGTATGTAGTATGCTTAAAACGCTTTCAAATCAAAATTATCAGGGTATCAGATCATTTCTTACTTTTTTTGTTTGTTTTTTTTTTTTTTTTAAAGTCTTTTTTGAGACAGGGTCTCCCTGTGCAGTTCAGGCTGGCCTTAAGCTCACTTTGTAGCCCAGGCTGGTCTTGAACTCACAACGATCCTCTTGCCTCAGCCTCCCAAGTGCTCGGATTACAGGCGTGCGCCACCATGCCCAGCAATCATTTCTTACTTATTAACATTTATTCCTTCCTTTTCTCCTAGAAATTATAAATGCCTCTGGAAAAAAATCCAAAGGTCCCTTTAGAGTTATCCTGCCCAATCTTCCCCCCACCCCCGTACCAGGAATCGAACTCACAGCCTCGCGCTTGCTAGGCAGGTGCTGTGCCGCTGAGCTAAATCCCCAGCCCCTAATCTTACAAATTTCTAGATAATTACAGCGTTATGCACTGAGTCCTCCCAACCCAAAGTCATAGGTTAAAGTTCCAACCCCGCGTAACTGCACCGCATTTGGAGATGGGGCCTCTAACAAAGCAATTTGTGTGAAATGAGGACATGAGAATAGGACCCTGGTCTCATGAGCTCTGTGCCCTCACAAGAAGAGATCCAGAAAGCTCCTTCTCCAAGCCTGCTCAGAAGAAAGGCCGTAGGAGAGTAGAGCAGCCTTCTACAGGCCAGGAAAAGAGTCCATGTAAGAAACCAACACTGATCAGACCTTTGTCTGGGATTTTCGGCCTCAAGAACTATGCAAAAGTAAACTGTTGTTATGCCACCCAGGATACGTTATTTTATTATGGCAGCCTGAGCTGACTAACACCCACAGGGATCTAAACTTCAGAACTGAAGATGGATCTAACATTTATGATGTACATGTTGAAATATAAACATTGCCAGGCATGATGGCACACGCCTGTAATCCCAGCACTCAGGAGGCTGAGGCAGGAGGATCATTGTGAGTTCGAGGCCAGCCTGGCCAGCTCACTACAAAGTGAGCTCAAGGCCAGCATGAACTGCATAATGAAACCTTGTCTCAGAAAGACAAAAAATAAACAAACAAAACAACTTCTACAAAATCTGTCACTTCATTTGGGTAATCAAATAAGATCATCTGAGTCACTGATTGAATGGGGGACAAAACACGCCTGCTCCTATGGACTGACTGATAACACCTTGCAGTAGAAACATATATACATGCACTAACAGTAAATGAAAATGCCAAATAAATAACATAGCAAGCATACACCATAGAACTTTAAAAATGCAAAAGACTTTTCATTTTTTTAACTTTTTTACTTTGCTACTTCATGAAATGCCATTTTACAATAAATATAATGATTTCACCAAATGCATCTAATCTTGCTAGCACTCTTAAATTATATATATGAAATAGGTCATTCTTCCAAATCTTACAGGTGAGATAATAATGACTAGGTTTGTTATTCATAAAGGAAAGCACCAGTTTCATTAAATCAATCAAGGTTATATAATAAGAAAAAGAATTTTAGCAAATTTCAAGTTCAGGTTAAGGCAGCAATTAGGAATGGCTTACATAAGGATTAAAAGTACACTATGAAATGTACCTCATTCAAGAAGATAATGTTAGTGTACTTAAAACTGTTGACTGATTATAGCTGCTGCTAGATATGTAGAGCATTCTAAAATAGAAGACCAGGCCAGGCGGGGTGGCACAGCCTGTAATCCCAGCACTTGGGAGGCTGAGGCAGGAGGATCATTGCAAGTTCAAGACCAGGCTGGGCTACAAAATCAGCTCAAGGCCAGCCTGAACTGCAGAGGGAGACCCTGTCTCAAAAAGACACACACACAAAAAAAGAAAAACAGCTGTATAAGTAGAATATCTAAATCTTATGTGCCTATACCAAATGCATATTTGAAAAATAAATCACACTCAATGATATTGCTGGCATTTTCAAAATTTATATTTTAGGCACTGAGAATTTTTATACTTATGGAACCTCCAATAGTTATAAGTAGACACAATCTTTGATTTGAAAACAACCATTTGTCAAATGTGTTATGAACACAATTCCACCTCCTGGACTCCCAAGTGGTCTCTATTCTTCTCCCCTTAGATAGGACAGGATTTATTTTTAGGTTTTTTTGTTTTGTTTTGCTTTTTTGGTTTTTTGAGAC